GCCGTTGTCTAATCGTTTGTGGTCCATGGCAGGGCTTTGAGTACAAGGAAATGGAAGGCTCAAGTAGGCCGTTAATCCTCACGACCATCATCTCGGCTCAGACAGTGGTCCTGAACTCTGTAGTCAACCTCACTGTATACCGTGGTTTTTTCACGATGTGCAATGTGGTCTGCCTGGAGGGTTTTGAGTACAAGGATGGTTCTAATGTGCACCCTCTTCCTCATTATCATGTCTGAGTTTGTTTTCGTTATTTTCAATTTTTGTTTCGCTAGGATCGTCTAGGTACCTAGGTGTTCTATAGCGCACATTGCTCAAAGTGCTCGATACAAGTGATAATAATAGTGAATTATAATATTTCAGTCGTCGTTGCTGTCTTCATTACTTTGCGAAGCTCGGCGGATCTCTGGCAAACTTATTATCTCTGGAAAGATAGGATATTGTAGCCAAGATGTTTGGATTTTCAGCGGAACGATTCGCGATAATATCCTCTTTGGCTGTGATTATGATCCAGGTTTTTCCACCTATGCGTTTATAGTGAGTCATTATGCCATATAGTTAGTTTTCAGGAGAAGTATCGCCGAGCTCTTGAAGTTTCAGCCCTAAGTAATGATATCGCTCAGTTTCCTCGTGGAGATGCAGTGCTCGTTGGTGATCGCGGGACTTCCCTCTCAGGTGCATTAGCATTGTTCGTTCTCAAAAAGTAGTGCTGACAAACAAAGTAATAGTTTCATTTGTTTAGGTGGACAGAAAGCGCGTATTGCTTTGGCTCGCGCCATTTATTCAGATGCCGATGTTTTCCTTCTTGATGATCCTTTGTCCGCTGTCGATGCGACAGTGGGGCGTTTCCTTTTTGAGAAAGTAAGTAACGAATGTTGTAGTCTCAAAATTGGATCTTGTGGTCGCCACCATGGAACTTCTCTTCGAACGTTTCGAGGGTTTTTCAGATGTATTTGCGGCCATTTGAGAAACAAAGTCGTCATTCTAGTGACACATCAGATTCAGTTCTTACATCATGCTACAAAAGTTTTGCTGATGAAAAATGGAGATGTAGGTTTCAAAGTTGGGTCATTTTTGAACTCTGGTTAAAAAGTATGCTGATTCAGGTTGTTGCTGTTGGTACTCTTGACGAACTCAAGAACAACTTCACAGAACAGTTTGAAGCGCTCATACAGGTCAGCTGGTTAATTTAATTGTCACAGTTCATTTAGTTCTTCGAAGGTTCATCATCAAAGTCAAACTTGATATTGATAGGGAGATAGAATTACACTTCTACCATCGTAACAGTTCGACTTCACAACATCTACTACTATAAGTTGGCTAGTTTCCAGGAAACGGAAAGATCGTATGCTCAACGACTCCGAGAGGGTGCCCCAATAGGCAGTCCACGTCGCGCGCTCTCGCGGATGTCGGAAGGTGATCGCGGAGGTTAGTGTATTTCTCTTTGGCCTTCCGTTTTCACGTGCTTTTTGCAAATGTCAGAGTCACAGCAGTCCTTACTCGATTACTTTTTTTTGTAGAAAATCGATTTAGGCAATTTTCCTCCTTTTCTTGTTTTTCGTGCTCCTATAAATATTACAATTTTTATATCACCGTTCTCGCTTCCAGTCTAATTTCACTCAAATGTTGGGAACTATATTAACAAAAGTATGTGAACTCTCATTATTTCTCGCAATATTCTTTGCTTTTTTTTCTTTCTTTTATCTTTGATCCGCTATGAGATAATCACCGTTTGACTTTTCGTGCGCGAAGGCCTGAGAATTTTTATTTTTCACCACTTTACAAGCAGCTTTAGTGTTTTTTATTGATGGGAAACTTTTCCCTGTAACGAAAGTATGTGGACACATCTTAGAAATGTGGCCCTCTTTTGAGTGGGAATTTAGGTTTTGCGGGTTCTGGATCTTTCCTTCAACATGCGAGGACGCACGATCGGGATGACGTGCGATTTTCCATTGGAGGGTCCAACGACAATCTGTGTTTATTCTTTTTAGAAACATGCTTGCCGTGAAGAACCATAATGGAGAACAAAGAACGAATGAGAAAGTAAAAATAAGTGGGGAATGTGGTGCAGGAATCTGATTTATAATATATGAGGGTGTCCACATAATTTTGATACAAAAAAAAAATTTTCCATGAAAGCTTTCGCTAAGTTAGAACGAAATCTTTTGCCGAAAATGTCATTGTAGGTTATCGACCACTAGGAGTTGAATGGTGAAGGTTTCATGACACAAAAAGCCTTTAGCTGACCCCTGAGAATCGATTCTAGGGTGTCCACATACTTTTGGTACGCACTGTATTAGGTTGTAAGGAAAGAACTTGCCGTTTTTGAGAGCTTAGGTTCGATGCATTGGTTCCAGCTAAACCTTCGGCTGATTGCTACAATTGGCATATTACCATTGTAGAAAGCGCGTTTTGCTCTATCCAGCGATGCTTCAAGCTTTGCTCTGAAACGATCACTCTTCCTGTTCTCAAAGTCTCGGATGAAACATGCTTACCGAGCAAATCCGCCCGATTTTTGTCTCCTACTCGATTTAGGGCGCAAACGAACCGAATCAGCTTATGATACGAATTTTCCGTTTGTTCTCGCAGTTACGAGAGAACCTATGTAGGGATGGGGAGAGGCTCGAAGGATGTGGGGCATCATACGTTGGTAAAAATTGGTTGAAAATGTTTTATGGAATGAAACGTGCCTAAAACTGTTGAGAGGGCCACTACGGGATTAAGCGTAAATGATTTGTAGTTTTAAGTCACACCGAGTAGGTTGAAGTCCTTGAAAATCGATAATGGGTATCGTGGAAGACGAGGTTCCGGAGAGCCATCCGACTTTCTCTTCACCCTTCCTTATCCAATTAACGACCCGCTTTTTGGGATTTCGATGCTCAGTGTAAATTGAATTCTTCGCAGCAACCTATGAACCTCGACTGAGTAGTTCGATCATGACTGAGGTCAGCAAGACTTCGCAAAGGTGAAAATAACCGAGGAGAACGTTGTGCTGCCTATTAGGCGCTATACGGCACGCGCACTGCCGCAGTCCAGGTGGAACTGTTGTAAAGGGACAGTATTCTGAGCAAGATGTCAAAATACCCTGAAAACTTGACACAGCACAACGCCCAGCAAGGGCCGTCATAATAGGTCCGACTCTTGTTTGCGGGGTACCTCGGTCATTGGCTGCGGAACCAAAAATACCTGCTAAAAATGAACTACTCGGGCTACTAAACCACACACATGTTTTTCTTGCTAGACCTCATACCTATTCACTGCTACTTCTCAACCGTTGAGATAGCCTCTTTGAAGAGAAATGCTAAGATGGCGAGGAAATGACTTCCGCCGAGTTCACAACCTCTACAACTCCAGTACGCTTAGCTAACGGATTTTCCAGACGCAGTTTTTGTTAGCAAGCGAGGGTGGAATGTAATGGATTTTACCGCAAGCAAAAACGTTGTGTTTGACTCGAAATATGCGCATTTGAATTTTGCCTAGCGCTTCCTCGCTTTCCTTGTAAGTTGCTGTGCTACGTCTAAGATTTGCTTCTGTTGCAGACAGTGCTACGTTCGAACGATCTACCAGCTGCATAAGTGAAAAGGACGAAAAAGAGGTGATTGAGAAGGCTGACTATGTCCCTGAAATCATCGAGGAAGATAAGGTGGCAGGCAAGTGTTTCACTTTGAAGGGACTTTTAAAGTTTGCTCTATGAACCTCTCTTCGTTTCTCATTTTACCTGATATTTAGGGGCTGTTTCTTGGAGAATATATGGTGCTTATATACAAGCGATGTGTTCCAATATGTTTCTTATTCCACCGCTTC